AATTCATTACTATGTCACTAAAATACCAGTCTGGTCCCAGACGTATCCTTTCTGGATTATACATAACTATCAGCCGTTAGTACGGTGAGCCACCAGAGCACTTTTATACAAAGCGGGTGCTAAGCACAAGTGATGTAGCTATTTTAAAGCTTTTTATATTGCCAGATGTTTTAACATAGAATCAGTGGCCAGTTCACGGCAGGGAAAATTTCTAGTATCACAGGCTATATAGCTAATGGGGTCAGCAAGAGGATACACAGTAGACCCCTTTGGTACCCTAAATTGAAGTTATTAAGAAATGTTGGGGAGATCGTCAGTATCTATTAGTCGTCAGAGCCAAATTTCATGACCTAGATTTGATCCAGGGTTGCTTTGGAAACAGACATTTGATTTGTTCTTTCCAGCACATTCCTCTGCTTAGGCTGCACACACCCGAAGCATTTAGACCTGTCCTCAGAAGTGCTGGTGACACTTTTATCGTGGAAACAATTATCTGGCCACTGGATGCCACTGTTGCTCAACCAGAAGTCAGAAAACCAAGAAGTCCTGTGGCAATACAATATGGGCGAATTAAAGAGCATTACTGTTATTATTGGCTGTGGACCTGTGCTTTCAAACTGTTTCTGTTGACGAATACATTCCGTCTACAGGAGTTGTGATTTAATTGCTAAGAGCAAGCGAAGTTGAGAGAAGATGCAAATGCTTAGCAACTAATTTTTGATATACTTTACTTTCAAATACACTGTTAGAAAAATAGCGTCCCACCCCTCCTGCTTAGTATACTATAGCCGACAGCCTCCATTACTTACCAGCTAATGCTGCAGAGGAAGACCAAACAAGGTGTCATGGCCTTAGGCTATCAGAAGGGCCTCTTCATCTTAACAAAGGCCCTGGGGTGAAAATACTTTGCATGAACAGGCTCAGGCTCATATATTCAGATACACTGACATCATTGCAGACAGGGAGCCTAAAGCAGCTTTTCCGCACATCCTACAGACAGAAACATTTAAAATAACCTTATTGTATACCTTTTAAAAGCAATAAGAGTTGTGTACTTTAAAAAAGAACAGGTAAGATTTGGTAGAAAAACTCTGAAGTAATACATATCTACGAGGTCAGTGTAGAATGAACCCTAATTGCTTTGTCTGATAAGATTTACATAGTAAACACTTCTGATTAATGTACAGTGAAGGCCATGGACAAAGGAACCTGCTTTGGTAGCTTTATGTCATTGTGGGATGTGGGCCTTCCAATTTTGAAGGTATACTAGCTAGCACAATTAGTTATTCTGTACAGAGAGGTAGATAGAGCCTTGGTCCTTGTTTAAATATTTGAAACTATTATTTTTATCTTACCAGCTAGTTAATTTTATTTATATGGCTATAAACCAAAACCGCCAATTTCACAATATTTGCAAACATCCATCTCTCAACCATATTTGGAAAACAGAAGATTTTTATTCAAATGACCCCTTTCACATCATAAATGTGAATGTATAATACAATTTGCATACATGCATAAGTGGGGTCAGTACCTAAACATCCTTTTTTTTTTATAGTTTAAAAATAAAATGCCCTTATAGCCTTGTAGTTAGCATTTTGCTGTCATTGAGATTTTCTGGCCTCATAGAGTGTAGTGAATACTACATTAAAATATATTTAATTTGAACTCATGTTAAATGAAAATTTATATTTTTATCTTCTACTTCATTTTTTAAAAAAAAGACCTAATTAATTTCTCTCTATAACATAAACATGTCAGGGGGGAGTGTATGAAAATTAAAAGGGAGAAGTTATACGCCTGAAGTAATATTTGCATTGGAATGTAAAAAGTTTGTCCTAATAAACTGAAAAAAGAAGAGAGTAGAATATTAATCATTTTAGGTGGTAAAGTAGAAATATCTAACAGCATATTTGGGTGAAATTATATGTGTACATAAATATATGCTTTCATAGGTTAGTAATACACTAACATAGGTTAGTAATATATTGATTTCACAACAAATTAAAGTTATCCTGCACTGTAATGTTAAGACATATTTAGAATTACCTTTTGGATCTAAAAAGTATTATCACTGATTCATACTCTTTTAAACGTTCTTTTGTGGAATTTATGTTGCAGAAAACCTGCTGACATTACTGAGAAGGATTTTCTGCAAAAATGCTGCAGAGACAGAGAACATCTCGGGTTGTCATTCTCAGCCTATTGCATAGTATGTGCTCCAGCGTGGCCATGAGTTCCGGAATGGATTGATAAGTAAACGCGGGGTGACAAGTGGTCATTTCATTTGTCTAAAAGTATTTATTTAGCAAAGTCACATTAAGCTGGATGAAGCAGACTGCTTGTGCTTTCCCATCCTAATAGACAACAATAAATGATCACAATTGTTTTATTTTCTTCCACTATTTGATTAGACAAAGAACATTTTTCATTCTCTATCAATGTTAGCCAAAATAACTGCATAGAAAGCACATGGAGGCAGCAAGTGTGTCTTATCTAAAATAAATGTTAGTACTTTATGCTGTGATAATACCTGTTAATGGAATGTTCTTTAAAATATAGATTAAAAAGCACACGCTTCTGAATGGTGGTTTATATGGCTTAAGGAACTATTACGTAGAGATATGCAAGGGAAGAAATCTTTATTCAACAATTTACAGAGAGCACTGACAAATGTTTATAAATTTTTTTTTTATTATTTTTTTGCATGTGTATGTGTGTGTGTGATATGCATGCAGGTATGTTTTCATGTTCCGGTGTGTGAGGCTGCACATGTCTACGTGGGTGCACTGTATGTGTGCATGTGTGTGGAGAGGTCAGAGGTTGACTCTGGGAATCTTCCTTGTTTCCTTTTCTCCTTATACACTTAAACTCAGACCCCCTTCCTTCGGCCAGTCTAGCGAGGCAGGTTGCCATGGGTACCCAACACTTACTGGTGCAGAGGATCTAAACCCTGGTTTCCACACTGAGCCATTTCTCCAGCCCTAAGTGGTTTTATTTTTAATGTAAGTTATCTGGATCATGACATGTAAGAAATGATCAGTATATTACATGATATTAAATACTATTAAATAATATAACAAACATTTCACTAAACAAGTATTGAGCACCATTTAAATATAACCATGTTCCTAGCATAGACACATTAATAAAGTGTTTTACAGTAGACTGTTCAGTTAAAAACAGTGGCTTAAAATTTATTTAACTAAGTCGTCCCAATTATAAGTAGGTAGAATAAAAATATTGCCCTTATTTAATACAGCTTTATTATTTTTTAAAAAATTATTTTTTACAAGTGTAAATGTCTTCACAACAGTCTTAAAATTCAGTCCCACTTTACCTTTGTTTCTTTTAACAAAATAAAATTATGTGGTGCCATTTTTTTCACAGAGTTTAGTAGTATGAGCTGCTGGAATATTTTGTGCCATTATGACTTATTTTATCGATACACTAGCTGCTACTAAATGTTTATTTTATCTGTACTTATACAAATGGTACATCATTGTATATATTTGGGGGATTAAGTATAATATTTTTATATACATGTGTAGTAAATAATGATCAAATCGTGATAACAGCATATTTACTACCTCAAACATTTATCACTTATTTGCATTGAGAATACTGTTTTGAACAATGGCTGAATTAAGTTACATTCTTATCAGAGGGATGTAAGGCTGTGCCTTTCTCAACAGCCTTGCTATCATTTATTTTTGCCCTTCAATTTATTGGACTTACTTTGTTTTATTTATTTTTCTCTTTATGTTTTCTTCCTAAATGAAAGCTATTATGCCTAGTGTAACTGGTATTAAAGTGAGTTAAGTTGCTACTCACTGTCATTTTGATACATAGTTATGTCATGATTAGTGTTATTAAGTACCTTTACACACATATTCAGCCATTTTACTTTCTGGAGAAGTCTTTATTAAGATCATTTAATCATTTAAATCAGATTGCCATCATTACTAGTGTTAATATCACTAGTGGATATACAATTGACTACCTCCTATTTTGTGTATTTTAATTCCTTGTCATATAGGGATTTTACAAACATCTCCTATAGGTCCTCCTCACCCTGCTGGATCTTTCTTTGACTGTGCAGGAATATTTTAGTTTGGGATAAATCCACTTGTCCGTTTATGCTTGGCCCACACTGGTGTCCTGAAATATTCTTCCGATGGTTTCTTCTAGAGGTTTCATGTCTCCACTTATGATTTTTGACTTATTTTGAGTTGATTGCTGTAGGTCTCCTTTCATGTTTTTGTATATGTATATTCAGTTTTCTTGAACAAATCTTTGAAAATACATTGTTTTCTTAATGTATGTTTTTATTTTTGTGTGCATGCCAGAAATGGCAGACAAAGATGACTATGGATCAAAATATATTCATAACTATAACTTCTAAACTATATTCTAAGATACCAAAGATAACCTAGTTTATCTCTTTTATGACAGATCAACAGCAAAAGCATTTGTCAATCTATCAATATATATTAATCACCTCTTTCTGAAGAGAACACATAAACACCACCTTGTCTCCTTTTCTGAATGCTTTCTTCTATGTCACCAAATGTGGTCAATGTATGTTTTGCCCTTTATTTTTTTCACATGTTAAACTACCCCGTGAGTCTCAATAGTCCCCATGGCTCCTCTTATGGGCCCATCCTAGTGGTAAATAGAGTAGTAAACACTGGGAAAAGGAATGTTATATGAGATGCAAAGCCCAAGAACACAGGAAATTGTGTCTCATTTGCGGCTAGGAAAAAGGAAAGACTCTGTACGTTATCTTGGGCCTCACGATGTTTTAGGAGACAGGAAGATTGAGTAGGAGGGGGTGGAAGGAGGCTTGAAGAACTGCAGCATAGGAGAGGAGGCAGGGTTAGACTGGGAGGTAGCTGAACAGGCAAAGGAAGGGGAAGGATTGGTAACATTCAAAGAAGAGGACCCAAATTTATGAGCCATTCTGAACTCTTAGAACCTTTTCGCTGAATCTTTAAAGGGTTTATCCAACCATATAGAAAAGAGATGGATACGTGGTTTCCAAATGATTACTTCAGCTGCCTGTTTAGTGGGAGTTCAAGAAAAATTCTGAGAGTTCTCTGTGACCGTACATAGAATAACATCCATTTGGGGTGCATGACAAATATAATTTTTCTTTTGAGAACTCTGTGTATTAACTGTAACATTATTAAACTCTTTATGGAGTAAAAAAAAATACAGAAATACAGAGAGAACAGGAATGTAAGAAAATGATATCCTCAATAAATACCCACAGAGTTAGCTTCCTCTCAAACATTTAGATATGAAAAGGGACAAGCATTCCTCTCCTTTTTGTTTTCAGTCAGTAACTGCAATTGATTGTTGACCTTGTCTTTCTGGCGAATACACAGAACATAAGAACATCATTTAAGAAAATATTATAGAGCCGATCCACCAGAGAAGTTTCGACTAGGAAATTCATTTTTGCCTAACATTTTGTAAAAAAGCTGTTTTGTCTATACAGCTGGAATTGCTTTGCAATCTTTAATACAAACTATAAATGTCTTTTAAAATTTGGACAGATGCTGATGAACAGACATAAAAGCAATGGAGATTCGATTTAGCTATGTTCAGTCACTCCTCCCTAGTGCTTATAAAAAATTAAGGATTGATGATTCACATAGAAGGAAAATAATACTAACCCAACGCAAAATATTCTTGGGGAGATCCTTTTTGGATACTAACAAGCTTAGCAGAAACATTTCTTTAGTTAATATTTGCTCATATATCTTTTAAAACATTTGAATTTTAGTAGTTTTTGTTCTGTTATTGAAACAGAGTATCTGTTAGCTCAGCATTCTGGGAACTCAGCTGAACAGTAAAGGTGTTATACCACATGCTAAGTTAACCAACCAAATACAACCATCCAATGCGGTGTCTGTTTTCTGCTTTATTGTTGCAATACTGACTATGACATCTTTTCACTATTTCTCCTTTTCCATATGAACAGTAAGATCCAAAATAGTTGTACTCCTATTTATGTATTTCCAGAAGCTTCATGTTTGTTCCCCCAAATTCACATATAGAAATGTTGAAGTCTTTCCTCCATGAGAAAGCTGTAAGAGGCAATGAGGTCATCACAGAAGAGCACTCAAGGATGGGATCACTTCCTTTGTAAGAGACAGATGACCCCCTCCTCTCTTCCCTGTAAGGAGCCATAAAGGAATTCTGTCTGTATGCCAGAAGAGGGTTCTCATCAGGACCAACTCAGTAACTTGATCTTTGACTTCTGGGTTTCATAAATGAGAAATAAATGTTAGCGAAACCACCCAGTCCACGGCATTGGTCAAAACAGCTCAAGATTAAAAACAACAATGGAAGGTGTGTCTGTGCTGGTGGCCTAGATGGAGAGGCCTGCAAGTGTTGAGTGAGGGAAAAGATGTAGGAATGCCAGAAGGATTTTTGGCATATGGATATTTTAACTTGTTCTTAGAAAGTGGATGATAAATCATGGAAATATAATATCTTAGATTTGGGATATCACTACCCATTTATTAAATGTAAGACAATGGACACAAGTTAGTGAAATGAATTACTTGAGACCACAAAATAACTTATAAAGATGATGATGGACAGAAGCTAAAATTAAAATCCAAACCTTATGTTTCAATATTCAGGAGAAGACAATTGATTTATATTATAGTCTCAACTTTCTTACTTAACTCCAATTTGTATTTATGGCCAATGGGATAAAGCTATTTAATCCAGTACATTTTAGCTGATCTTGCAGTAGGTTGTGTAAACAAGCTGCATATGAATGAATGATGAGGCTATACGATACTGTCAAAGATGATACTAGGCTATTTTTATTGCAGTGACAAAATGCTTTAGCAGATCAACTTAAAAGGAACCATGCATGCTGGGTCATGGTTTTAGATGCATTTGCTTTTATGATGTGAACTTCGAGACAGGGAGCACATAGTAAAATAAAGCTGCTCACCTAAGGTCTGCCAGGAAGCAAAAGCAGAAAAGACTCAAGGGCCTTTGAAGGCCCAACCCATCTCCCCTCACTTGCGCAGCGACATACTTCTTTCAACAAGGGTCCTCCTCCTGATAAGTCAATCACTATGAATTCATCAATGGATTTCTCACATTAATGAAATTATTGTTCTTGTGATCTAGTTATCTCTCAATAGTACCACCTGCTGAGGGTATGGAGGCGGGGAGGTAAGCCTGCAACATTTGGGCCTTTTGAGGTGACTCTTCATAATCAAACCATTATTGGATTTTAATCGTACATGCAAGTCCTGCAACTAGCAATATTGAGTCACCTATGAAAGGGCAAGGGATACGGGGGATACGGGAAAGTATCAGAAAACAAAGGTCTGTGTAGGGAATATGGCTTTACTCAAGGGAAGTGATGAGAAGATAAGCCAGAAAACTGAAGCACAGCCCGTGTGGAAACATTCTCTTTGAGGAGAATGAGGATCTGTACAACCTTGTTCAAGCTGCAAAGTTCTTTTCTCATGCCCTACAGTTCTGGTTTCAGATAACAAAATGAAAACTGAACTAGCTTGATGAAAACGCTACCAGAAGAGCTTGAATGCTCTCCAGACCCATCTGGACTTTTGTTCCTTTCAAATGATAGTTTCATTCTTTCTCATCGCATGGACAGACTGAATGTGAACTTTCTCTTTCCCAGGAATGAAAATCCCAGGGAAGAGACTTGGTGGAAAGGACTATCTCCCATGTAATCAATAGTGACTGGGGCAGTTTTGTTTGATTAATTTGTCCAACTTAGGACCACTGGAGTGTGGTAATGTGGGTGGATTTCCAGATTCAGAACATAAGAATTGAGGGGAGGGGGACTCAGTAGATCATTCAGGCTCCTTTGTTTGTAGTTCGCTAGACCACAAGTTACTTAGTTTGTCCCCCCCCCACCCCGCCCCACATTTTAAGTTTCAGCAATACATTTCAGTCAACTGATAAGATTTTATTATAATGTCACACTGGAAAGTGGGGAAACACAGAGATCTGTTTCTGCCTCTGGCAATTCAGATAGCATGTCCTTCCCTTAGCAGGTAGAAAATGTTCTCTCTGATAGTGTTCCTCCTTATGCTGACTTAGCAGACATGGGAAGCTGATGAAAGAAGACATGTAAAGCCAGGTTTCTTGGGTAATTTTTTTTTCATTCTTATGGCCCATTCCCTATACATCTCTGATCCTAATATTGCAATGATCTAAGCCAGGCTTTGAAAAAGGAGACTAGTCACCATTCAATATGACTTGCTTCTATAAGTTACAACTTTTGTGTCCACTTTAGAGGTTTGAAAGCTGTTGTTCAAATAGCCCCCTATGGCTCCGTCTTGATTAGTGTTTCCTTCACTCAGAACCAGAAAAATGTGGGTCAAGACAAACTAAACCGAGATTTAGATTTGAATTGTGGGTGCATTCGCAACTTAATTGGTAGAAATAGTGTATGACCTCTACAGAGACAGGAAAACATATGAATTGTAATTAAAAGTTTTCTTTGGCCAAGAATTATTCTGGAAAATATAGAGATCTATGGATAGGCAGCAATAGCAGTATAAGGAGTTTTTATTTTCCAGTACTGAGAATTGAACCTAAGGTATCATACATGCCATGAAACTCAGTTTGGACAAAAACAAAACAAAACAACAACAACAACCAAAAAAACCCTACCATAATGGATAAAACTAGAAAACAACTTGAAATGTTTACACATCTGATCTTTTTTCACACAGCTGGAGCTACATTGTAGTTACCATAATTTGTTCACTTATACAAAATAACTGTCACCAGAAACAGGAGTCTAACAAAATGTAGAAGCTTCAACTCCCTCCAGTCCCCTAGAAGTAGCTTGTTTTTTTTGTCACTTAAATTGCTATTGTGGCGACAGATGTAAAAGTAAGCAGCTTTTATAGAAGAGGGACCCGAAGGTAATCACAAGCCGACGAAGACAAGTCAACCGGGTTGAGAACGCACCGAAGGAAAGAAAAGAAATCTGAGCGGGAAGGCGATAAAGATGGAATAGAGGTAACTCCCGAGCCCTGTGTGTGTACCTCTGCAATCAGTGGCATTCTAGTCAAGTTCCCTTCGCTTGCTCTGGGCTTCATTTTTTTTTTTTTTTCCTTGCCCTAAGCTGCTTCTGGGTAAAAAACACTCTCAGCGTGTTTGGCCTGCAGTGGGCCTGTTACATGCAGTGGGTCCAAGGAAACCTTTCAAGATTCAGCCTTCTCTTATGGCTGTTTGCAGCTGCCTGGAAATTCTTAAGGGATGGGGTCATAGACAGAAGATGTGGGAGACCAGTCGTTCCTGAGGAAGCAGGGTGATTTGGTTTTAAAGCACCCTTGATATTTTATATTTATTTATTCACTGCTTCTAGAGAAGGGAAAAGAAAAAACACGCCCACATAGAATACCCTTACACACAGCAAAGCAGTAACAGTGATTCCCTAATGGTCCTGGCCTAGGCTTGTAGTAGTTTTAGAACTGTGGCCCTGCAGATCACAGGAGCCCCTTCCAGGCCATTCTAGGCTTAGAGAAACCTAGTCTCACAGCTATCAGTGACCTGGAAGTCATATACCCTGCAAAGGGAGAATAAGGACAAGGCCTCATACTGCCTCTGCTATGGACTAAGCCTAATGTCTTGAGTCCCATAGTTATATCTGACCTCCCAAAGTCCTTCAGACTGAACAGCACAGGCTTGAGATAGTTTGCCTAATTTCAGAATCAAAGACGTGGTTTTACAAATACGGATTTTTTAGTTTGGCTCAGTGTCATCTGGGGAAGGTGGGAGAGATGGCCTATCTGGAAAAGGAAATATTGGTAGATTTCATCTTACCTGCGAGGCAACTGGTTACCTACAGTATCCATCTTAAAATACTAAGCGTGGAACATGATGGGGTGCTGGAGAGGGACAGAGATACTTGGCCCAAAGCAAACGTTGACGTCGTCTTTCCAGAAAAGTCTCATGTGAGGACTGACACCTAGGAGCAATCAAGAAAAAAGGTCTTTTTCTTGTGTCAAAAAATTCGTTCGGCCAGCATTCTCTCCGGGGGACTGACGACTCCACGGGTCAGCCATCCCGGGGCGGGCCTCTGCCTGGGCAGCCACATGGGGAGCATTTCACACAGTGGACTGCAAGGGGCCTTCCAGATCCCTCTTCCCCAAGCCCCTACCCTGACGCAGCTCCCTCTGCCTGACAGGTGTTTTCCCAACTCTAGAGGCCCAGGATTTTGGGGAGTGTCTGAGCCAATAAGATTTCTCCTTGGGGGGGAGGGCGTGGCTACATGGGTCAGAGCAGGGGCGGGGCTTGCGGAGCCGAGGAGAGCCTAGCTGGTTGCGTGGAGGGTTGTTTGATTCCCACCCCCTCTTTTTTCCTTTTTTTTTTCCCCCCTTTTTTTTTTTCTTTCTCCCTGAGTCTTATTAATTTCTCTGTGGGGCTGCGGCTGGAGACCGTGGAGCGCTGGATATGACGCTCGGAGCTTTAATTACCGCAATGGCTGGACAAGTGTGAGGAAAGCTGACAGGGGGAAAAAAAAAGGGGGACAAGATCGAAGAGAAGCAAAGAAGCACCCCCACCCCCCCATCCCTCCTCCTTCTCCCTCTAGATTTGGACAGGAGGTGCAAGGAGACTGAAGAGAGAGCTGAACATAGCCCGGCTTGGGGGGAGAGGCCGGAACCCTGCCGCCTCTTTGCAATCAACTTTTTTTGGAAGCCTGTTTTTTTTTTCTTCCCCCCTCTTTCTTTTTATTGTTGACCAACCAGTGAGAGAGAGAGAGGAGAGGGGGAGCGAGCGAGCGAGAAAGTGAGGAGGGTGCGAGCGAGCGAGCGAGCGGAGGAGCACTCACTCGGGGAAATAGCTGCACAGTCCTGCCTGGAGCAGCAGCCGCACAGTCGCGCACACTCCCACCCGGGCGCACTCTCCCTCCCGCGGTCCCTCGCCGGGTCCCCGGGTCCCCGGGCCCTGGAAGCCACCGGCACCGACTCGCTCGCCAGCCCCGGGGAGCCCGTGCCCCGCGCGCGCCGCGCCCGCCCCCCTCGCGCCCCCCACGCGCTCCCGGCAGAAGAGGGGGGGGGAAAAAGAGAGAGAGAAAAAAAAAAATCTCCTCCGCGTGCCCGCAAGGGGCTATGCCATTTGGACATGTAATTGTCAGCGCGGGATCTGAGACTTGCCAAAAATGAAGCTGGCGACGGGACTGTGGGTCTGGGGGAGCCTTCTGGTGGCCACGGGGACCGTCCAGCCCAGCGCTTCTCAGTCAGGTGGGTCGCGCGGTCTCGCGGTTTTCCCTCTCGCGCTCCAGCTGTTGAACCCGCCACCGCCTCGGGTGGGTGGCTTCCTTCTCCTTCCCGGCCCTTCTGTCACCCCCTGGCTCCCAGGCTCGAGGGAACCATAGGGACCCGGCTGGCTTCGGGCTCGGGTCGCCCCTCGCTCCAACCCAAACTTACCTTTGTGTGTGTGTGTGTGTGTGTGTGTGTGTGTGTGTGTGTGTGTGTGTGCGTGCGCGCGAGCGTGTGTTTTTAATAGATGCTGCAAAGGAGTCCGCTTTTCCTGCCTCCCCCGGGATTATTTGTCGCCCCCCCTCCTCTCTCTTTAGCCCCCTTCTTTCTTTCTCGCGCGTTTTCTGGGAGCCTAAGCGGGATCGCTTCTGGTGGCGCCCGTTGTTCGGGGGCGTGGGAGACAGAAGCCGGTCCGTGGAGGTTCGCTCCTCCTCCGGCTGGGCAGGAAAAAAAAGAAAGAAAAAAAAAAAAAAGAAAGAAAGAAAAAGAAAAAAACAAACAAACAAAACAAAACAAACCCAAACCCAGATAGAAGCGCTGCTGCACCTCTTCGGGCCGCAGGGAGGTCGCTGGGCTGCGCCTGCCTGCCTGGCCTTCCTGGGGTGCAGGGCTGCAGCGGGTGGAGCGCGGGCCGGGAGCCCGGCTTGGCACCTGAGCGTGCTTGCGTGCGGCCGCCAGCCCGACTCTCCCCGTACCCTGCGGGGTCACACGGGACGCGGAGCCGGGGGGCCCCCCGGTAGCTGGAGCGCATCGGGCAAGCGCCTCGGCCAGGGGCAGGGGACTCTGGGCCTCCTCTGTTGGCATCCCGGAGCTGTCTTGCGATTGACTTTGGGGACGCTTGCTCTCCTGCCTGCACGATCTCTTTAAAAAAGAAAAAAAAAAACCCAGTGCACTGAGCTCAGAGCCGGCCTTCCCACCCGGTGCTGGGCTTGCTCCCGGAAGAGTTCTTCCAGTAGTGCAACTTGCGGTTGGCCTGAGTCCCTCCAACTTCTGTTTACTGCCCGGCGGGGTTCCTGAGCCCACGGGTGGCGCTCATTGACTTAGCCCGAGGCGGCCGCCTTGGCGGCACCCCTAGCGCGGCCACTGTTGGCCCGAGCGCTGGAGCCCCAGGTATTTGGACAGAAAAAGGACTAATTGACCCCGAGAGGCAGCGCAGTGTCACTGGCGTGCTTGGGGCTACCAGGGCCAATGACAGCAGCTGCGGCGTGGTGGAGTTCAAAGTTTGTCTTTTTTTTTTTTTTTTTTTTTTGACACTTGGGAGTTTCCCCCCCGGGATGAGAGGAGGGGACAGCAAAGGACCAAGGAGAACCGGTGTGTCTGTTGCGGCCAAGAGGGGGTGAGGAGAGGGCTTTTGGAGAGGCAGGGAGATTTCCGGAACCTTCCGGGGCTGGTGGCGGGAGCGTGGGAGTCAGCTTGAAGAGATAAAGCATTCAGGAGTGGTAACAGGGAGAGCTTTAGGTCCCCAGAGGGTGTCCTTCTGACCTCACCGAGAAAACAGCAGCTTGCTAGTTTTCCCGCTCCGCCCCCCCCCTCTCCGCCCCCCCCTCCGCCTCCTCCTCCTCCTCCTCCTTGCCTAGTAAATAACAAGTTACAATCTCTGAGCCGTTCAAAATGACCTTCGAATGGCACATGTGCGCCATTTGTGCTGGCCGTTTGCACACTCCCAGGGACTCCGAAATTCTTCGTGCATACCAGTCCCCGTGCCCCAGCCACCTCTGGAATCACAGCAGCGAGGACTTGGGATTCCAGGCGGCCGCCTAGATACATCCTTTTTCTAGCTACCCACTCAGAGCCCTTCGCCTTTTCCCCTCAATGGGTTGATTATGCACATTGACCCATTCAAAAAACACTTGCGACTGTCACGCAGGCTTAGCCGAGAAGAATTTCTATCAGGCCACCCTACCAGGGGGCTGTCTGGCGTGGCCTGGGCCGCTGGGGGATCCCCGCTTCGAGTCCGCAGCAATTTGGTATTAACTGTGCAGCTCCCGGTAGGGCTATGCCGAAAAGCCCTTTTCAAAATTTAGGCAAGGAATGTAATCCAAATTAGTTCTGCAGCTGTCCCCTTCCACGTCTCAGACGACACCAGCTTGCGCCCTAGCTCTCTCTCTCTCTCTGCTCTGCTCTGTTCCCTGGACGAATCGTCAGACCCACAAGTGAGCCCATTTAGAAGCACGAGGATTAGCGTGCCATTGTTGTTCGCGTGTGTGACTCTGTACTTGAAATTCTGGGGGCACAAAAGAGAGCCTCACTTGTTCAAAACACAAAGTGATCTAGATGAAAGGGCCGCACAAAGAAAAGCTCTCGGGTGCATCCCTGGTATAATTACAACAAGCATACTTCGCTGATCTATTGGAAACTGTCAGTGCCCCCAGGGACTTTTTATTTTTATTTTTTTTTTTATTTTCAGGCGCCCCACCGCACCTGGCAGAGAAAGTTCAGCTGGTTTTAATGTAGTGCTATTATAAAAACAAGTAGCTGTCTGGTGAGCGTGAGGCTCTGTGGCTGTGGCTGTGCATGTGTGTGGCTGTCTATCCAAGTAAATACATACTGCGCGTCTCCTCTCTCGCGGTTAGCAGTCAGGAGCAGTTTGGAGGAGTTTGTTTTGGTCCAAATGAGAAATTAAGTGCGGATAAGTAAACTAAGCTGCCAGAGGGCGACAAGATGTTGAGTGAATTGCTTTTAGATGAAACAAATTAAGGAAACGAGGGAAGACAATCTGCTTTTCGCATTATTAGACACGCTTGGAGTTCAGGGGAGAGGGGCATATTTTTGAAATGCTAATTTCTTAAGCAGAAGGAATGCACCTTATTTACTGCTGTATGTGAACGGAATAAAACCATACAGTGGGAGATTCTCGTCTACGATCTTCAAGATGTTTCTTGGGAAAACTGTCCATAAGAAAACTTGGCTTTTGCTTTGCTTGAGGGAAAACAAGTCAGCTTTTGAGCCTTTTAAAATAATTCTGAGGAATTTTTGACTTATTACTAGTGATAAATTTTATCTATAAATGTTTTTAGTCCAAGGCCTTTCTATTGCAATTCCACCCGAAGGGATAATTCTAAAGTGTCTGCCTTCTTTCTATGGTGGGACTTACCAATATCTCTTTTGTACTGAAATAAAAATATACAATAGTGAAGTGACATTCTCCTAAGCCTCCCCATGTGATGGACAAGTCCATTCTCATTCTCATGTGCAAGTTCCTTAGTCCCCCTGCTTTTCATTCCATTAAAGTACACACATCTACAAATTTAAGGCACATTATTTTCCCCCAAGCGTTAGGTGGTATTCTACATTTGAGATGAAATTATTAATAAAAGTTAAATGACAAAAATATTGCATAGTTTTTTTTTTAAATGCATCAGTCATCTTTTCCAAGTGTATTTACAATGAGCATGTCCATGGGCACACTGTCACAGCCCTTTTGTTCCTTTAATTTTGAAAACCATGCATGTGTGTACAAGAGGGCTCGAGAGAAGGACATGTTTCCATTCCGAACACTTCTAAACAGATGACTACCTCTTACTGCAGCTGCAAATTACTTAAAAACACTATAGGTTTCTACGGCAGAGATGAAGTGGGATATCTCTGCTTCTGCCACGATTCCTTGTATCTTTTCAACTCAATTGCCTTTATTTTAATCATGCACACGTAGAAAGTCAAATTTCTTGAAAAATCAAGCACTTACAGCTTTGTTTATACATATATTTTTTTGATTTAGTCCCTGGAAATGTGTCCTAATTAGGAAATTACATCAGAATGTTTACTAGGGCTTGTAGGGGATGGAAGATTTATGTATTTTCTGTTCTAACCTGAACACAATGTTTGCATTGGCTGATTTTTTAGAGTCTGCATTCACTTGGTAGAAAATCATATTTCCTCCTCAAAGTGGATTCAAATATTTAGTATTCATGAGCTTTCATCTCTTTGGTTCTTAAATAGAAGTACTATTTATCATCTGTCTCATACATTCACCCTTTCCATTACTATGGATTCCTTACATATTATTTGAGTTTAGGGACATATGAATATATATTTTCCCTCCCACCACTAAGTATATTCATTTGTATGTGTGTGTCTTTCCCTGTGACCTGCCACTCAGCCACGGCAGGACTTCTCTAAGCCAGCTTTCATTCTTTCTCTCTGATAAATCTGATATAGCTGGTTGGCTGAATAATCGTAAGCCATTCCATTGCTCAGATTTATTCCCGAAAGAAAATAAAACGGCATCGATCCTAGATCACTAGGGCATCTCGAAAGCCCAGACTCCAAGGCCAAATCTTTGCACAGAGCAGTACCTTTCTCCCTTGTGCTGTTTCCCTCTTTTCTCCCATTGACCATGGGAAGGTGATGACTGCCATCCAACAAAAGCTACTGATACAAGGAATTGTGCTCTGGGTATTCTCCGAAGCTTGATTACAGCCACCTTGAGATTAATGGCTATGTAAAGTGTACATTTTACACAATATACTAAATTAGCATGTCTTTAATATTGCACTGCTTTTTGTGCTATAACCAGTCAGTTATTCAGAAAATTTAGCTTGAGTTTTCAAAATAGCAATAACTTTTGGTTTTACAGTGTTCTGCTCCTGTTGGATGTCCAGAAGTGATGTGTAAGTATCCAAAACCTAAATGAAGCAAATGATCAGAAAGGATGTTCTGTTACCAGCAGGTTTATTGGCATTTGATCTGCTTAATTTCAAGCTTCTGAGGGATACTTTTTTGTATATATGTTGTTAATAGTTACATTGAAATTAGCTAATACATGTTCAAATCTACAATAGTCTATAAAAGTGTCAAGAACATCCTGTTATCTGACATGCTGAATGTGCTATTACAGAGTAGAAGTTGATCATAATAATAACTTCCTGCCAGACTATATCATCATAGATGGTCTGTTATATCAACATTTCACCATATTGAATTAAATTGGGTCTTTTTTTCTAATACTTATTTTATGTAATATAAATGTTGAGTAGTCAGAGAAAAATATTTTCATTATTGCTAGTAGAGTTATTTATATGAGTTTATAATGAGAAAGTATTTTGATTTTTTTCATTTATTTGTTCTGAATAAAAAAAAAGACGATAGCTCAATGTTTCCTGAAACAGTAGCACTTCTACATAATTGGAAGGAGAACTTACCTGCCTATATTGCAATTAAGAGCAGCACAGACCATAACCATATGGTTTAAATCAGGATTCCTACATCCTAGGGACAGCTCTTCTAGGCTTTTCTTAATGTTTTCAGTATCTCATTCTATGCCTTTGTGAGTGGGATTACCTGCCTGGGGGAAAACGCATGTAAGATACTGTATATTTCTCTACTGTGTAGCAGTTTTCCACAACAATGAGTTTAAAGACTTCTGTGGTGTTGAGATACATTCTAGTAACCAGTTAATTGCTTTTGTACATGAAATTCAAGTCGTACATACAATTAATACATTTGCACATGTGTTGAGAAACACAACATAAACTCACTAACAGGCTATTTCTGTCTAGAAACCACCAGTTTAAAGAAAGGCAGAGGTTCTTGGCTCTGTAACATATGTTTGTGAAAACTCTTTCTCTCAAATAATACTTTTTGGAATTGCTCTATGGTCTTTTCATATTTAATTGTTCATGTATCTTTCCTGAGTTGTTGGTATTTTGACATGCAGAATTAAGCAAATTTGTTTTTCTAAGCTTTAACAAGAAGGTTTAAAGTTACTTTCTGGCTTTCTTGTGTTTGTTACTTAAACAAGTCCTTTCTAGATTTAAAGAGAGGGAGAAGCCTTCTCACTTTCAGTATACAATGTTAAAATATGTGGTCGTTTGGGGACTGATTCTAAAGAGGTTTTGAACATGAAGTAATTGTCTCGTAGTTATTTTTGAATAAATGATCGCTTATAGGCCCATCATTTTGCACAACTCCAGGGGGCAGCAGTCATACAGAATTTAATAAGAATGGCAACACCTGCACTGTGGGTAGCACATCAGCAGCTCTGGTGTTGAGTAATGCTAAAGAATCAATCACTGAAATAAATGTAAGAGTTGAGGGCTCCAGCATAAGCCTTTGAGAGAGCATGGGTTAGACTTCCGGCCTATTTGCATGCCACTGTTAGCGCTAAATACAACACATCAACTATTAACAGCTTGAATATTTTTAATGATTTCATTGGAAAACGGATGTTTCAACCTACAGGAAGCAGGAATCAATTGTTTTACAATTATTTTTGTAAG